AATAAAATGACCTTTGAGCGTCTCACTCCATCAATGACCTTGAGCATGCGGGATAATTTCAGCCGTTTGTACTAGCTCGTAATCAGGACATTGGACTCCCAGATGAAGTGGTGTCTGCAACCTCAACTGATTCATTCAAGAAGGGTGTGGACAAGCACAGAAATTTACTTGAGAAGGGTTAACATAGGCTCAAATTTTCCTATCCTGAATCAATAAATCTGTGTTCATCACCATGGTGATTCGCACTTTTTCGAACGTGGACATTACTGTTTCTTTTAAGTTATTTTGTCCTCGTATTTTAATGCCAAAGAATGCAGAAGTTCATATCTGGCACGGAAAATACCCAGTGGCAGGTATATACATGAACAGAGACCACCGCTTAAGGGGTTTGCAGGGTACATTCCGAATTTCTAGGGTTCACGAGCAGTTGTAGAACAGTTATCAAAAGTAGGACACACCGCCTATTTACATGAACTAGAAGATTTCAATGAAATAGTAGAAATTGAAGTCAATAAAGAAATTGTTTTTCGCTGCAAGGTCTTGGATTTTCAGTTTGGTATGTACATGTGCTCTGAAATAACACACTAGTGATCTTTTCAGGGAGCGATGGTGAATTGGATCCACTGTGTAAAGCAGTTGTTGATAGTGTGAATAACGCTTATTAACGTCTTATCTGAAGTTGTTTCGGTTACTGAGCTAATTTATGTTGACTATCTATATAGGTAGTGCATATATGCAAGTTTCCACACTTGTAGTCAAGGCTACAAGACCACTGGGAAGACTGATATTTACCAAAGACTGTTGTGCATTAGAGTCTTCTGGAAAGAGAAATTCTTGCTGGCTTAATTTGTTTCTCTAGATAGAATATATATGTATAATATATATATATATATGTACTATAGAACCTACATGTGTTCAGATGTTTGCCTGGTAAAACTGTTTAGGTCAAAATTTACTGTGATCAACAAAAGCCTATTCTTTCAAAACATATCATGTGTAGCTCAGTCTGATGCCAAGTCTTTAGTAGTGCAATAACGATCGTCCTTACTATTTTAGAGTCTTCGTAGCGAAATTTAAATTGACTTCGCAGACGCACTAAACTGCATGTAAAGCCTGAATACCTCGAAACTGTGCGTTTTTTGAATTCTAGTTGGTGTTGGAGTGAAACACTTTAGTAATTTAATAGTAGTAGTGTTTACAGTTTACAATTTATTTAGGATAGTAGGCTATATGCCTGTGTTAATCCTTTCGATTTGTTACACACAGGAGGTCCAATCTTGCCTTGAATGAATTAACGGATGGCGCTGATACGACGTGTTCCGGTAGGGAGTTCCAATGGTTCACAATTCGATGCGAAAAACGGATCTCCAGACGCAGACGATTCGACCGTGGTTTTTGAACCTTGAGGTGATGTCCTCGCAATTGGTTGGTGCTAGAAGGAAGAAATAAATTAGATAAATTAGCTCCAAACTCATTTCTTAGGATACGGTATGCTAGTGTTAGGTCATCCCTAAGTCGTCTGTATGACAGTGGAAATAAACCCAGTCGACTTAACCTCTCCTCATATGAGAGGGTTGAGAAACCCTTTATTAGCTTAGTTCCTACTCTTTGCACCCTTTCTAATAAGTCTATTTCGTTTTTGAAACACGGGCTCGCTGCCTGGATCCCATATTCCAAATGAGGTCTGATATAAGTCGGATATAATATACGAAATATTTCAGCGTCAAAATTCGCAAAAGCCTTGCGTATGGCCCATAATATTCGAAAACCCTTAGTGGCTGCAGCTCTACAGTTTGTTGCTGTTTTCAAGTCATGCTGCACAACCACTCCCAAATCCTTGTAATCAGTGACCACTGGGAGAGTAATGCCATTCATTGAGTAATTGTGCACGTGACTATGAGATACATGCATAACTACACTCTTGCTTAAGTTAATCTCCAAGGCCCAGTGCTTACACCAATCACTTAACAAGTTTAAATCTTCCTGCAAAGCAAGTTGATCACTGTCATCGTGTAAAGCCCTCCATATCTTGATATCATCAGCAAACAGTAAGCAGGATGACTTAACTACCGATGGAATCTCATTAACATCAATCAGGAAAAGAAGTGGGCCTAGAATTGTACCCTGAGGAACGCCACTCTTAACCGATTCCCATGTTGATAAAACCCCGTTAACTCGTACTCTTTGTCTTCTGTCCTTTAGAAAGTCTTGAATCTAGTTGACAACCACTTTATTGATTCCCAGACTACCTAACTTTGCTAGAAGACCTGAATGAGAAACCCTGTCAAACGCCTTGCTAAGGTCGATGAATATGGCATCCACCGGTATATTAGCATCAGCTGAGCTTGCCCAACTTTCTCTGGCCAAAAGAAGGTTGGTCAAGCAAGAATGACCTGCTCTAAAACTATGCTGTTCCACGGCGAAAAGTTTGTTCCCTTCAATGAACTGAATAATAGCATCACGAATTATTCTTTCTAGTAGTTTAACAACAATACTGGTCAAACTAACAGGACGATAGTTCTGAACTAAGTTTCTGGATCCGGTTTTGAAGACCGGACTAATGATGGCATCTTTCCAGTCTCTTGGACATTTAAACTGGTCCAGAGACATATTGAAGATTACAGACAGTGGCTCGGCTATGTTTTCAGCCAATGCTGTTAATATACTTGGGTGGAGTTCATCAGGGCCACTGGACTTACCAGGATTGATCCTTAGAAGCCACTTTAGGACAGTATCCTTTCCAATGTATAAGGGTGCCATTTTCAAGTTACCTTCTGGAAAAGTTACAAAGCTGGTATCAATATTATCAGAGAATACTTGACTAAAGTGCTTGGACAAAGCCTCAGTCTTAGTCAAGTTATCCTCAGCCATGTTTGTCTGGTCATCTTCAAGCATAAGAGGTGGGATAGCATCACTCTTACGTGTTCTTCTCTTGATATATGAGAAGAGTCTTTTCGGGCAGCCTGGTGAACTTTTAACTAACTGGGTTTCGTAAGCTATCCTTGACTGGTGAATCAAAGTTTTACACTGGTTTCTGGTTTCACAGTATTTCAGCCGGAACTGCTGAAGCCCAGTAGAAACAAAAAGATTCCAGAACCTTTTTCTCCGTCTTAGGAGTGTTATAGCTTGTCTGTTTATCCATGGTGGCCGATTTCTTGGTCTTTTAGGAACCCTCCATGGAGAGCTTGTCGTGTTTAGCAGTGGCTACGTCTTTTCTCACCACTATTGATGCAGCCTGGCTACAGGTGACAGACGTTTGCCTACCATCAATATTACTATGTTTCTTCCGATTGCTTACTTTCGTTACACACTGATCATCTGCCTGCAGTTGCTTCTCAGGGTTCCTGCAGTTTTTGATGGTACAATCGAGATCAGTGTCTGCACCACCTTCATGGTTAACTTCGCTTACAGTGTTCTTTGGTGCTGAGATGCTGTTTGCAGCTTCAGTTTTGTTACCTTTTCGCTTACTAAGACGCTTCGAACGTCTAGTAGGTTTTACTTCCGGGGTAACTGGGATAGTAACCGCCGGTGTGGTAACATTCATGATGGCACTTGCTGCGTCATCTTCAGACGGGCAGTCTGTGTCACTATTACTAGCCAAGCTATCATCAGGAAGTTCCATAGCTTCAGACAGTCATCTTTGGGGAGCAACACATTCTGCACATCCAGTGGGATGTTGGAGCACTACAACGTTTGTATGCGGCTGGACGTAATCCAGTACACATCTTATGATACCACTTTTTAAAGTTATTACACTGTATTCCATCATCTACCAAAAAGTAACACTACACCCTATTACATTTTTGTGGTACTTTTGACATAATGAACTTCTACTGGAACAGCCAAGACAATTTACCTAATATAGACTATATAAGTGGTTAAAATCAAAACTTAACAGACAAAAGTCAAGTTTAAGTTTTAAGAAATGTTCTTGAAGTGAATAACACAACAAAAACAGCGATTTGTCAAATACGTGAAAATACGTGGAAAAAGCACTCCTTTTTTTCTGTATGAAATACAAATGTTGGGTATAAAATCTTCCTACATAAAAATGACTCCTATTAAAAAATCAGTGTCTCATTCAGTAAGTAGTAAAGTTTCTAAAGCCTGTTGTCTTTGTTCCAGTTGCAGTTATCGGGTTTCTAATAGAAGGCTTTTCTTTAGTGTTCACCTTTCCTTATCAAAAATATATGTGTTCTTTAACCCCTCTCACACGAAATATTTGAAAAAACAGAAACTATTTCTTATGAAATTAAGCTCCGGGTGTTAAAACTCTGTAGGAGAACCAGAACACTATGGCAACATAGTCTAGGCTTCGCTTTTGTATTCAATAGTTGTATCCACTGAATTGTCTCAATTCACTTAGGAAGAAAAGAGAAGACAAGCTAGGTTTATAGCCGTCCCTTAGGATTACATTCATTATGACGAGTACCTCCGGCTGTTTATGACGAAAGGGAGGGATGAGATGCAGCATCTTATGTTCGCCTTTATGCAGTTAATGAATAACACCAAGAATCGGATGCATTTTTTACAAACGTTGAAGTCTAACAAATTATTAAGGTGCATTGCAGAGTGTATATACTGCTCTCTTCAGTTTCCCCTACATTTTCGCATCACTACTGTAGATAACCATTATAGATTTTGACAGATTAAGGAGTTTTTAGTACAACAAATAAATAATTAGGGACCGTATAGTGTTCCTTACTTTGCCTTGCCATCTAACACAGTTCACGGAGAGTTTGAAGTTGATCCTTAATCTGTCTTTAACTGACAGGGAACTCTTCGATCAAAATAAGTAGCATGGTAGGGATAACAACACGTTTCAGTTCTTTGAATAATAGATTGTAACAAATTTTATCACAAACCTTACTCAGTTCTACTATCATAATTTCAACTTCCAATTAATATTCTAAGTTTAAGGTAGAAAAATCCCCCTTAAAAGTAATTTTTTGTGATGGATAGCATGTCAAAACATTTCAAGTAGGCTACAACCATATTTCTCAAAAGTTGTATCTACAATACTGACAAAACTAAAATGTCTACAATTTCAAAGTAGTATAGGTCACTCTTGTAAGTCGGAGGTGACTATTACTTCCTTCTAACCAGACTACAATACTTCGGTGTTTGGTGGGTGGTCGAAAGGTTAAAGTCCTATGCGTAGGTTTCTAGGTCCTTGGAAAAGTTTAGATATGGCTCACCTGTCCTTTTGACTTCCTACTACTCACAATACTAAAATGTCTGCGCACAAAATTTCATCTACAGTGACAAAACACATTTTGTTTACTGATGATACTTCTAGCGTCAGGAGTAAGTTTGGTGACGGAACCTAAAAAATAGCATCTAAAGTAGGAATAAGCTATATGAAGTAATGGCTACTACTAATTCTGAGATATCATCAATTGTGGCTGCCATTCTTTGTAGAGCGATGTTAGCTGACACAGTGCTGGATTAGAAAAGAAACTGTGATGGTCAAAACAAAAATTACCAACAATATGTGAAGCGTTTCACTGTGAGTTTCAGCCAAGTAAGGAACTATAGACTGTGACTGGCGTTCTGGAGACTGTAGGAATCCATACCTACAGAAAGCTGAAGACGTGGAACGGCATCGATAAGAATGAAAGAGACGAAGTTACTCACCCTGATCTCGCGGATCCATCTCACATGT